GTGGTGGTGGTGGTGGTGGTGGTGGTGGTGGTGGTGGTGGTGGTGGTGGTGGTGGTGGTGGTGGTGCCTGGAGCACCCACCTATACCCACCAAGCTCGTCTCAACTGCCCACACTGCTCTCGCACTTTCAGGCATCGCATGGGCCTATTCGGCCCATGACACCGGGCTTGGGCGAGGGAGGTGGAGAGAGTGTAGGTAGATGCTACGCAAGTCTACTGGCACTATAAACCCCTGCGTAAGTCACCGTTCCTGCTCCCATTGCTGCTGTAACTGTGGGGCACACGGTGGACATCATCGAAAACGATGGTCGAACTGTCGTCGGTGGTGGTGGGAGGAGGAGGAGGAGGAGGAGGAGGAGGAGGAGGAGGACGACGACGACGACGACGACGACGACGACGACGACGACGACGACGACGACGACGACGACGACGACGACGACGACGCCGATGACGGCGAGTTTTGCGAGGTTCAGAACAAGAGGAAGAACAATATCAGGGCTTTTTAGCTCTCTAACGTCTTTCAGAAATGTCCACGTGGAGACGGAAAGCACTGTCGTAGAAGTTTGTTCTGGCATCGCTCATCGACCAGGGGCTGCAGAGAGCAAACGAGCACTGTGAGGGCTGGTGAGGAAACTGACATCGCGGACATAAATACGACTCCGTGAGCCGGCAAAGAGACGGATGAAGAGTTGTTTGAGGTCTGAGCCTACCGGCAATCAAGCGTAGCGCCCTCAGTACCAAATAACGCAACCCTGTTTTCTGTCAAAAACGCATACATGCGACCGTCATGCAGTGGTCACCATGAAAGCCATTAATGTCTATGGACAGGACAGCATTAGCGACAAAGCCAAGGGAGATTGGAATAACCATTTCTGACTTATTAGCCGTCGTCAGCCACCCACACTTAACCCCGAAGTGTGGAACACGGGAGGCTCAATCCCGCGACCCGTTGGCTTGAAGTCCAACGCCTCTAACTACTGAGCCACGGAGTCGTTGTTTTGTCGGTTGAATTCGGGTATATGCAATGTTATTCTGCCTATATCATGCGCCGCTGTGCGGCTTTTGGTTGGACTTGAGAGAAGGAGCCCTAAGGCACAACGAGACGAGTTAGTTCCTTAAAAACGCTCGGCGAAGCCCCTCCACCATTGCGTGTTCTTGATCGCAACCAACAGGACAACGAGCCCGTGGCTTAGTGGTTAGAGGCGTTGGACTTCTTACCAACAGGTCGCGGGAGCGAGCCCCAGGTGTTCCACACTCCGGGGCTAGGTGTGACTGGCTGACGGCGGCTAATAAGCCAGAAGTGTCCATTCCAGTCCCCTTTGTCTTTGTCGGTCATGTCATTCTGCCCATATTACACACCGCTGCGCGGTTGTTGGTTGGGCTCGAGAGAGAGCCCCTAAGACACAACTGGACGAGTGAGTTCCGTAACACGATCGATGAACGTCCTTCTTCCACTAATTCCTAATGTCTCTTCTTTGTCTCCAGAGTCAGACGTCTACGCCAGATCCAAGAAGTAAATATATTGGCAGTTTCGGTGACCGAGCGCTCACATTCTGTTCAAAAAGATCACTGAACTCTCGTCTTTTGCCAGTTCGTTTTCCCTAAAATCAATTTTCACCGCAGCAAAGCTGAGTTCTTTTAAAGACCTGAACAGGATCATATTGACACGCAGACAGGCTCACGCCCACATGTTTGAGTTGCCAGAGGAAACAATTGCTGGATAGGATGATGGCGGCCATAAACGGGAGCCGGTTAGTGGTTGGGCGGATTCACTTGAAGACGGAATGCCTATCAAATAGGCGCTCCTCAAAACATTAAATTGTCACCGAGTTCTCTAGTGACCACCGCCTCCATTTTCAAACCGGTCGCCCCACGCAGGTTTGTTCAAGAAAATACGGTGTACTTCACACCCATTGAATGATAGGCAACCCGAAGTTGTCGATCGAAGATAAGTTCGAGCCAATCTACGTATGGCTCCGTCAAGTTGTACTTGTCTGCTGAAAAGGATATCGGAATCTTGAGAAGTTTGCAAAGGCGAAAAACAGTGAGGGGATAGGGATGGCTATTCCCGGTAATACCCCAATCTCGGACCACGCAACCGAGATTAAACTCCAGAGCAGTTGTTCACTGTGTACTTTCAACGATAAAAAGTGGGACCGAGTGCCTTTGAAGAGCGGTCATCTATTTGGCCCCGAATAGACTTGAATCTCTGGCCGTTCCCGACTGACTTTCTGGGTATATGGCAGCGCTTGTGGTCACATCTACACCTCAGTTGAATCCTACTCCCCTTGAGGCTTCAAAGGTTGGAGTGCAGAAGTGGTTGAGTGACGGTTGTGGCAATTTAGATTTCGAATCATTGGATCCCATCATGGCAAATGTCAGCTTCCTACCAAAATCGGGGATCAAGCCGTGTCACTACTGCGATTTCGATGAGATGCCAAATTTTTTGATGTAGTGTTAGTTAAAACTCGTTCAGTAAATTTTCCAGAAACGTTAGAACAACAATTTGGCAGTCCCCTAATCACAATTCCAAGGGATATAATGTGGGGAAGCAGCTTAACTGGGTCAGAACGCGCACAACCTGACCCGGAGGCAATTTGGGGAGGCGTAGTCTGTGAGCGAGTTCGCTTACGATACCAGCGGCGTGTAAGAACCAATCAACCAAGTCCAAATTATCGATCGACGTCAGCTCTGCAGCTGACAAGGCATGCGGACAGGGGAGACACGGGATACGCCAGAAAGTTCCGCTGTGCCGGCGTGAGAATGGTGACAATGGGGGGGGGGGGTCCAAGGAAGAGGCCACTGCTATGTATAAATCAGCAAGATCTACATAAATGAACACGAGAGGAGCAGGATTGTGCTACTTATGGTATACGAGAAAGTGGTCAAAAGGTCTGAAAACGTGTGCTATGCCAGTATCAGCAAACCGTGGCCCTCGCAGCCTGGTATGCTCTGGCAGTTCCCTGACACCTGGTTCCCCGCCAGTAGATGCGCTTGCGCTCCCGGTGGGTATACAGGTGGTGGGCATGGTTGCCCATTCATCCTCCTCCTTCTGACCCCTGTCAACTGACCGGCTCGGACAGTGGCTGGGGTCTGGGAATGGGAAGGGAGAGTGAGGTCGACGACTTGGCGCATTTTCCTCATTACAAACAATCGGACGCGCTTGAAGCTATCACGATGTGCTAAAAGTCATGACATGGAAGGTTGCCAACTGACGGGATAACTTGGACCTCGCAGTCGGCCCCGCGTTGTGTGTTTCAGTCGAGTGGCCAACTGGTGTTCTAAGAGTCAGGCTGCAACGGTTCCTTCTTAATTTGGCCTTTATGGCACTACCACTCCGTGGGATCCGAACCGGATGTGGTGACGCGCCTGGGTGCGGCTTCGGCCGTGCCAGCCTCCATTATTTTGTCATTGCTGGTCAAAATCCTGATCAAGTGTGTGTGTTGTGAACCAGGTGTGGTGGCACGCCTAGGTGCGGGTCCGGTCGTGCCAGCCACCTGCGCCCTCTCCCTCCCCCGATTTTCTTGACCCTGTCTTGACACCGAACCCATGTGGGGAAGGAGGAGAGAGTGCGGTAGATGCTTCGTAAGTCTACCCCCACTATAAAATACTTCACGCGCAAGTCACCTTGGTGTGCGACACACAGTGGACCTGGGCTAATAGCCAATCAGCACAGGGCAATTATCGATCAACGCCCAGCCTGCAGCAACGCCTGTGCTAGATGAGTCATCAGCGTCAGTGAGTAGGCAGGGGATGTGCGCGCTCAACCAAAGGCGATGTGCGCCAACAGCGACGCTCGCAGCCCGAAGGAAGTGTACTATCACATCTGCACCGGGAAATGCGGATGTCTTCGAAGTGGGCTTCTGTCAGTACCTACATCTGATGCCGGGACGTCGCCCCTGTGATAAGGTGTGCTAGGATTTGAACGTATACATACTTCCCGCCCCCCCCTCTCCCAGGACTCTGACGCAAGGCCAGCTCTAATGCGGGGATGGTGGTAAAGGGATTTTTATGGGTAGGACCTTGCCAGCCTTAGAGAGAGGTCCTACGCCATTTCGTTTCCAGATCATTCACCTGGTCCTTTTCTGAAAATAGGCGCGCAGCACTTTCTTTATGAGATCGTGCCTTTGAGTTTGTCGAAGCTCTCAAGAAAATTAACGTTGGCGGGCTGTTTGGTAATGCATCCGTGGTAGAAACTATAAGCTACCCCTGTGACGTTATTCGTGGTAGGAACTGCCTGATAGGCATGTCAGTGAAAACGTTAAAAAAATTACTAACACGTTGCACACAGTGTTCACTTTCCCTGAAATGGCCAACTATACAGGCAAATAGACGGCGTGGTGATGGGCTCACAGCTCTCGAGTGATTGAGAACCCCAACTACGTGGTTACTGAGGCGAAAGAGGTCCCATAGTGCGAACCTCCGCCAAAGTAGAGTTTCCATAGTTTAAAACGCATAAAACTGTGTGTGTGATATCCTGATCACCTTTCGAGGGAAGGAAGGAAGAAATGAAAGTTGTTTCCAAGTTTTGGCAAGAGAATCATGCCAGAAAAGCAGAATGTCGGACTAAATACGAGATCACATGAGGCGGGAGCGACGTCCGGCAGTGTGAGACAGTGGGACAGTCGTCCAGCGCCTTCAATGAGGTCATGTCCGAGTCAGCCTTGAAGATGATTGGCCAGTTTGGACAGCTGCGATTGGCAGAGAACCAGACTGCAATTGGTGCTCACGTATAAGTAGTCGCGAGAGGCTCAGAGTTGCAACTACAAGTGTCGATCCCTGCGCCCAAGCGACTGCTTTCGGACGACGTCGGTAGAGATGCTCGCAGACAAACCAGACAAAAGCGTTGGTACAGGAAAACCCTGAGGCCCTCTCACAAGCATCTCTAACTGAGATTTGCACAGAAGTAGCAGGCGTGAGGTACATTGCGCACATTGTGGGGCGATTATTCGGGTCATGGATAGGCCTTGTGGGAAACAACTAGCCCAGTCGCACTAAAAACCACCATCAGCATCATCCGTGAAGACACTTTTGTCATTCCGACTATCAGAACCACCACTGCCGCTTCCATCACCAATGTGGACTCAGTTCTAACCTCTCCGAATTGCGACTGTGTCACCGCATCACACAGCAGCCTGATCGGTCTTTTGCGAATTCCTCGCACTGATACCGACGGTCCGTGATATGCCCGACTCTTACGTCTCACTTTCTCAGGAGGTCCGGTCATCGCATGGGCCTCTTCGGCCGTGTGCGGTTCCCTGAGAATCTCTAGTAAAACAAATCTTTGCTCGAACTGCACACACCCGCTGGACTAAATGCGAGCTTACTCTGCAACATGCGCATGATCGACGCCTATCAGAAATCGTAATTCCTGCAGGCTTTCGACCAAGTTCCTCAGTCCCCGTACGGCGGCTAAGACGTCGCAGGCTAAGGCAAGAATGTCTCTCTCAAGTGTGAAGCATATCAAGTTGTGTGGCCTGACACATGTGTGGCACGCGTAGACGGG